CACTACATCCTAAAAGGCCATGTTGGTCAAGTAAAGGTTCTAAAAGTCCATTAGTGTTTCATGACATCACTCAGCGGCCCCTTATTCTCTTTGATTGACTCAAACGCTACCGGTACCCACAAATATGTCGCACTAATATAGATATTGCTTAGACCATGTCGGCATATCCCGCACAGTTTCCACAACGTATTGCTATTTACCTATGAATGTTTCCCAAATCTGGGTAGAGGATTCAAACCCAAACAATAGAACCAAAGTGTAAAGAAAACAAGTCAAGCAAGATAAGCATGTAAAGGTGATCTAAAACCCTAAGGTTACCCCACTTTTATTTTCTTCCCCAGCAAAGTCTCCAGCTCTGTGATGCGGTGGGAGAACTGACTTGAGGTTTTGTGTTTGTGTTCGCAAATGTTGCGGTTAGCAAGAGTTGCCACCGACTTTTCTTTTATCCAAAAGGAAAGGTAAAAAAGCATAGGAAAGACCTTTGAGATTGTTTTTGGGTTCGGGGGGTAGATTATGAAAAGGGAAGGTGCTAGCACCCTTTTCATCCATGGTTTTCCATGGGCTCTTAGTTACTTGTTTTAGATCACTTGCTTTGCTTTTGCAATTGTTTGAAATGGTGCTTTGTGTGGTTTTGAAAGTATTTTGAAAAGAGCCATTTGTTTAGGCAATATTTGTAATGATTCTTGTTTGTAAGAATGTATACAAAGATGTTTGTCTTTTGAAAAATGTTTCAATGTTTTGAAAGATGTTTGGAAATGTTTTGAAATGTGTGTTTGTTTTTGAAAATAGCAAGGATTGTTTGAAAATTGATCAAGTAACTAGAAGCATTCTACCTACTCAAAAGTCTTTCTTGTACATTTTTATTCCTTTGATATTGTTGATTTACCATTTATTTGGTAAACAACCCTATCTTTGGATGTTAAATAGGACGGGCGTGGGTCATCGTATGACCATGATAAAAATGGCTCCAAGTATCTTAGTAAGTTTGAGAGACCAAGATCATTTTGTTTTTGGCAACTTATGATAGCGTCATCGAGGTACTATGATCTTTTGTTTTGTTTTGTTTTGCCAAGAGACCTAGCATGCATACCATGGCCATGTATGAGAAAGTAAAATTATCTAGGTCCTAAAAATAAGAAAAAATAATGTTATTATTTTTTGAAAGGGGAAACCCTAATTTTGTTTTAAAAGAAAATATTGTTTTCTAATTATTTATTTGTCCATTTTTTACAAGAAATAATAAATAAAATATTTACAAGTATTAAAAAAAATGTATGAAAATAATATTTTATGTGTGAAAAATAATAAAATAAAAATGCATTGTATTTTTAAATGTTTTTACTTTTTTTTAAGAAAATGAGTTTCTATTTATTCTAATAAACTATTTTATTATGCAAAAAATAAAATAAAAATGCAAAAAATAAAGAAAATTATTTTTGTGATTTTTAATGTTGAAAAAAAATTATTAAAGTCAATAATCATTAAAAAATAAAAAGAAAATATGGAAAATAAAAAAATATGAATCAGGGGGTGCAAATAGGAAACAGGGGGTATAGGAGGCAAAAACAAAAGCCAAAGCGCGCCCAGGCCCAAGACTGCTTCGTCCCTGTCCTCTGTCCACTTACTGCACGCGTTTCTGAACCAAACATGTATCTTGCTTGTTCAGTTGAGTTTGGATATGGCAATGTGGGAACTTTGAGTGAGGCCTGAAGGTCGTGTGAGCTTCCATGAAGTTCTCTCAAGCTTCTCCAATGCTCAGCTTGCCTTGTAGATGCTTGAATCTCCCTGTAGAAGTCAACCTACAAACCTTCAAAATGAAAATGGTGAAGCTTGAAACAGGGCACACATTTGCAAGATGAATGCTTGGAGAGCTTGGATGTAATGTAAGGAAGATGTTTCAAGGGTTGAATCAAGAAACGCACGAGCCAATATTGATTTGGCTTGAGATTTGCAGAAGCTGCCCTGTTTTGGGCAGAAATGTGGTTTTTTGTGTTTGAGGTGTTATGAATTCGTGTCTTAGGCTTGTTACAAAGTTCTGAAGTTGTTTGAAATAAAGTCAAGGCTTGCCTTTATCAGATGCACAAGCTTCCTTGACTTTTGCAAGTTTGCTTGCTTTTGAAGAAAGTTGGAAGTGACAATACAAAAGCTTGTACTTGCTAGCTTATGGACTGCATAGAGTTGGTACAATTTGCCTGATGTTTTTGGTTCTTGTTTGCAACAAAAGATCAGGTCCATGGCTCAAGATTTGCAAATTGCAAAAAGCAAGCTTTATGAAAATGGTATTGAGAACTTTATGCCATAAATGGATTAATTCTTTACGCAAAGCTCCATAGGTCAGAATAAAGCCAATATCCATTGAATTTGCATTAAAATATGAAGTTTAAAAAGGATTAGGACCTATAATACCAAGTACAAGCATGTTTGAAACTGATTTGCAACTTGTAACATTGTGAAAATGCCTTGAACAAAAGTGATAAATTGCCATTTTCCCTTCTTCGATTCTCCCTAACCATAAATGATCTTAGAGAGTTCTTGGACATTTTGGAAAGCTTGTAACATGATATATAATCCATATTTGAAATGCATTTTGATATTACTCTTGTAACTAGGTGAAACTTTGCCATGAAGTTTGGTCAAAAATCTGCCTAAACTAGGGCAAAATTTCACTAAGTTAAAAAGTTTATGGACCCCTATTCACAAAATCATAACTTGAGATCCAAGCATCATTTTGGAAAACTTTATGAATCAAAGTTGTAGATTTAATGGAGTACTACAACTTTCATGTTGGAAGTTTTCTTTGAATCCAATTGCATCATGGTGAAAACGTTGTGGAAATTTGGGAAAAAATAAGAAATTTCCATAACTTAGAAAAATTCTAAGTTATGATAATTTTCAAATTAAAACCCTAATTTGCAATTTTAGGCTTCTTGATCAACAAGTTTCAGATTTTTACATATCTTGATGAATTATGACCCTTGGCACTTGATTTTGACCAAAAAGTCAAAGTTTAACTTTTCAGTGTACAGTTGACTTTTGATCAGTTAACTGCAAAATTCATTTGTCAATCCTATGCATTTGAGATCTTTTGAACTATGTGATTAGGTAAATATGATGCCATTGAGTCCTTGAAATCATTCTTGAACCCAATTGGTCATTGGCTAAGTTAAAATTCAGAAATTTCCCTTTCTCAATCAAAACCCTAATTTTGACCATTTTGCCCTTTTGATGATTTGATCAAATTTCTTGAGGAGTTGTGGTCCAAACTTGATCAAATGGTACATAGGAGCCTAGAATGTTGTTGTGGGTCAAAAATTATGAAGTTTGACTGTAAATTGGCCATGGTTGACTTTTTCCCCAATACAGTTGATTTTTAGGTCAATTGTCCAATTGACTGGGCAAAAATGTGATTCAAGGCTTGAAACTTGGTATGGGCAATCTTAGGAGTCCAAGATGGTATATGGAAGTCAAATGAAGCATTGATGGTCCAAAAATCCTTGTGCAAACTCAAACCCTAATTTCAGGCTAATAGTGCAAGAGGAAGTCTTGAGCTGAGCAAACCTTAATCCTGTCTGGAGTCTAAGAGGTCTTGTGAGGAAAATCTTGATAATATGAGAGGGAAAATTTTGGGGTACAACAGGTATCTTTGCCACTCACTCAAGCGGACATATGATGGCCAAGAAAATATTGAGGGCTGGCTAATATTGGTCAACAATGGAGACTGATTGCCATCAACGCTCTAGAACTTGTCACAAATGCCAAATCTACGCTGACAAGGTCCATGTGCCTCCTATCCCTCTGAACATCATGACCTCTCTGTGGCCATTTGCAATGTGGGGCATTGACATTATTAGAGAGATCAAGCCCACTGCTTCCAATGCACATCGCTTCATTCCGGTCGCTATTGATTATTTCACCAAATGGGTCGAAGCCGCTTCGTTTGCCTTAATCACCAAGAATGTGGTAGCTAGATTGATCAAACATAACCTCATCTACCTCTATGGTATCCCCGAAAGGATCATCACCGACAATGGGACTAACCTCAACAATGCTATGATTACTGAGCTTTGCACTCAATTTAAGATCAAGCATCACAATTCTTCTTCATATAGACCTAAAATGAATGGCGCAGTCGAAGTGGCCAACAAAAACATTAAGAAGATTATACAAAGATGGTAGTGACCTATAAGTACTGGCATGAGATGTTACCGTTTTCTCTTCATGGCTACCGTACGTCATCCAGGACATAAACTTGGGAAACTCCCTTTTCTTTGGTCTATGGCATGGAAGCTGTTTTGCCAGTGGAAGATCAGATTCCCTCATTAAGGATTATGAATGAAGCGATCTTAGGCGAAGACGGGTGGATTTAGAAAATATTGGATCAGTTGAACTTGATCGATGAAAAATGACTGGTTGCTGTTTGTCATGGTCAGGCGTGCCAAAAATAGATGATCAAGGCTTTCAACAAAAAGATCAAGCCTCGAGTATATCAAGTTGGCAAATTGGTGATAAAGCGCGTCATTCTACCACAAGGTGAACCCAGAGGCAAATGGACTTCCACCTACGAAGGGCCATTTGTTGTAAAGAGAGTTTTCTCTAGAGGTTCCATGATGCTGACTACCATGGATGGCGAAGACTTCCTACATCCTATAAACGTGGACATAGTTAAAAAATACCACGCATAAGAGACCCGCTAGGTTGACACACCTGTGAAAAATAAGGGCATCCCGGCAAACCAAAACGTTTGGGCAAAAATTAGGGATATATGCAAAATATTGTACACCTGGCAAGTTGAAAACCCGAAAGGGAGACTTGGGCAAAAATGGCTATCCTGGTGGGTTGAAAACCCGAAAGGGAGGTCCAAGAAAAATTTAAGGATTGAAAGTGTATGACTATGTCCCGTGGAATCAACACAGTCAACTTTATCACCAAGGTCCAAGTTCAAACAGTCTAAGATCAATCCAATCAACTTTTGTCAACGGCAAGGGGCATTCGAAGACATTATGGCAATAGTAGAGTTGGAATGTAATGAGATCATTTCCACATGGCTATTTGTTTTATTTTCAATATTTGTTTTCCTTTCGACGATTTTCTCTTACTAGGATCTCCGTCTCTTTATACAAAAACGCTTATTCATGGGCAAAATATCAATACAAATATACTTTGAAGTGCAAACTTTTTGTCTTTTGTTTTGAATGCAAACTTGTCCAATGACTAAAATTGAACGAACATATGCATATGTACATAATTAAAACTATTTGGCACATGTGTCCTGCTAAACAGTATCAAGCATATCTTTAATGTATATGGAATATCCCCCACAGAGTTATTTCATTAACATTATCACCACAAGATGGCTACGATAAAACAATCTTCAACTAAGTTACCCGTTGTACCCCAAAATTTGCCCTCCCATTTTTCACTCAGGATGCTATCCCAGGATCTCTCAAACACTCAATTTGGCACAAGATTTGATTAGACAGATTCTCTTCCTAGGCATTGAGTCAGCAGCTAGGGTTTGGTATTTCTTAAAGAAAAATTGAGTTTCAAAAGTTTCAAATGGTCTTTATGGTCCTTCATGTGTTATCAAGGATGTTTGTGCCAAGTTTCAAGCCTTGCATCGTGAGTTTTCTCATTCACTGGTTCAGATGACTAAAAATCAATTGCAAAAGTCGGCCTTTTTAGTATCAAGTTCAAACGATTGTAACTTCTTCATTAATCGATATTCTTAAGCGGTTCTGTTTGCATATGACTCTCCTTGACGTCATCTCCAATTTATCTTCACAAGTCAAGAGCTGATTATGTGCGAAAGATCATCGGAAATTCGAAAATTTTAGAGGTCACTTTCTCTTTCTGACCTAATTTCAAATAATTGTGGTCTGCCTTTCAAGAGTCGTAATGTCCTCAATTTTTAAGATCTCGAGAAGACTATTTTTGTACATTATCATGAGCGATGTCATCAACAAGTCCTCTTTAAGAATCGAAGGAAATTTTATTTAAAAGACCTTGGAGATTATCAATTTGTCATAAGTCATTTTCTTGATTTAGAGTATTTTCAACTTCTAATTGTTTTCTCAAAGGCTGCGATTCTTATGTTGAGACTGTCCATAGAACGAGATGTTGAATTCGAAGATTCATATTGAGTTTGAAGAAGATGTTGCTTATAATACAAGTTGCCATGTTGAAAATTGATTTATGATGGTGAAAATTACTTGAGGATTCATTTGAATATTGTCTTGATCAGCAAAGAATTACACGATATCACAAGCTTTCGTCCAAATCTTTTACAGTTGATTCGCGTGGTTGGTTTTGAATTCAAGGTATCAGAGAACGAGTTTGCTAAAGTTTTCTCAAATTCATTCGAACTTTGGAATGCATACATGATTAAAGTTATATTGTGATTCATGGTTTATCTAAGTCACAATTCTCATGAATCAAATCAAATTGTTAAACCTAATTTCTTCAAGCGCGTCATTATTCAAATGCAAGACTTTTTTTAAGCCGCTTTGGAATTCAAGACTATTCAAGTTTATTCAAGAATTCAAGATTTACAACAAGGCGTCATTTTTATTTGAATATACTTCACAATTCTCCAAGTCTTAAAATTCAAATTACAAATAAAAATCGCAATGTTACAAAAGTTGCAACAATACAAAATTCCTAAAGAATTGATTTTTTGTCATCTTCAAGTCTTCATCAAGCACGGCAGGCCGCTCCTCATCAATTTCCTCCGTTGTCCAAATTGCTCGTACATGCAACAAAAGAAAGAAAAATTAGCAAGCATGTGAAAATTCAAACAAGAATTATTTGTTAAACAAAAAAAGCTCGTCATTAGGATTCGCATTTGGAATCAGAACTAAAAGGGATTTTGGTTTTAAATCATGGGCGGTCTTCTCTTATTTTGCAAATCACAGAAAGTTTGTTCTTTTTGGTTCACAAAAAAAGAGAAGAGAAAAGAAGTTTTCAAACATTACAAAAAAACAACAGCAAAGTAGCAAAGAAAATGAGGTTGTAAACAAAATACGGCAAGGCTATAAACAGCAGGTGCAACACAAAGCTGAAAAAAATACCAAAACAGCATGGCAACTAGGCAAGCAAGGTAGCCCAGCAGCAGCACAAGAATACAGGGCAGTATATGACAGCAAAGCAAGAACCAAGAATAACAGTAACAATTCAAAAATGGCAAGCTATCAAATAGCTCCAAGTCCTATATCATCATCTTCCTAATGTGGCAAATCCTTCAGAGTTTCAATAAGTATAAAAAAATTGTTTATTTTCATTGAAAGAGGAAAAAGAGAAAGAGACAGTTTAAAAAAATTTCACCCAAGCATACAAAGCCAAAAACCTGCATAATAAGCCAAGAAAACAAGTCCAAACTTGTTGCAGAAACAACCCTGCTTCCCCTTCCCAAAAGAAACAACCTGCATAGTATGCCACAATTGTTCAAATTCACTAATATTTCCCACCAAATTCCCTATACTTTTAGCTATAAAAAAGAGACAAAAAAGACAGAGAAAGGACTCAAAAATTCTTCAGCCACCCTCTTTCAAACAACACTCTGTTTCCCTCACTCTAATCCTCATATCTTCTTTCAAATCCATAAACCTATCCACTATAACTTCTTCTTAAACCTCCAATCACTAACACATCTTTAACATCCCTACATACATCAAAACTGAAAACCGTCTAATTGGCATCTTATACCCGCCCCCGTTTTAACTCCTCCATTACTAATATATGTACTTGTTGTAACCTAACTTGCTTCCATACAAAATCTCAGCATAACATCACCAGCACCATAAAAAATAAACCAGAAGAAGAGCCAACAAACCATAGAGGAAAATAAAATAAAAGTTCTCATTGAAAACATAATCACAGATGCAACCTGTATCTGCAAAATAGGAATTTAGCATGCTGGTGTTCCTTTGCTAACTGATGTAGTTGTGGAGCTCGTGTTTGTCAATGAAAAACAACATCATGATATGCTAAGATGCAGGCGGTCTCGTTGCTAAAGCTGAATCAAAAAGTGAAGTCACAAGGAATCGTAAGCCATACTTGTACAAATCGAGACACCTACACACACTGAAAAGAGAAAGAGGAAGTGGAGGTCAGTTCCAAAATTCAAAGAAAGATGAGAATCGATCGAACGAGGCTGGATCAGTTTGCAATTCACAGTCTAATATCAATCTCAAACCTAAGTCTAAACAGAGAGAAGAGAAGAAGAGGAATAGTTTGAGCTTACCGAAATTCGTAGATTCTCGTTGGAGTTCTTGCTTGCACCATCGTGATATCTTGATCCCTAGACACTGGTTTGAAACCCTTGAGGTGAGCCGCCGCTCGCTTCATCCTCCGACGTCTTCATCATCTTTGTATGTTTCCGTCGTCTCAGCTTCGACGCCTTCGTTTTCATCTTCGTGTTCTTCTCCTTCCTTTCTCCGATTCAGACTTTCTTTTTATCTAATGCATCGCCGTTGAAACTTTGATCGGCTTCTGCCTTGGTACCGTTCTTCAGTTTGTCAACTCCGATGTCACCCCGACAACTATAGTTAAGTCTCCAACTCCACAGCCTTAAAACTCGCTGCAATTTGCAAAGAACATGGAAGCTTTAATTTACAAAAGAAACACATTTTAGAGAAGCATGTGGCAAGGTTGTCTGTGTTTGTTAATTGTAAAAGTAGAGAGAGAAGGAAGTTATGACTTTCAAGTAAGTTGCATCCCTAAAGCCCTTTCATTTATTTTTGTTTGTCATACTATTAACATTTTTTTGTTTTATTTGTTTTCTATGAAAATTATGATGGGCCATTAGGTTTACTTAGGTCCAAATAATCACATTATTTATTTTCTTTGCATTTAGTCTTAGCTCTTAGATACCAAAAACCAAAAAAAAGATAAAAAGAAATAAAATAAAATAAAATACTAAAAGATATATATACCTTTGATTTAATTTCTTTGTAATTAATTTATTTCTTTTTTAGAATAGGTTGTGGTTTTCCCCTTAAAATTCTCACTAACAAAAATATCAAGTTTTTTTATTTATTTATTTTTTACACTTTGTTAATTAATTTTTACTTCATAGATTTTTTTAGTTTTAATTGTTCGATTTGATTTGGTTGTATTGATTGCCTATTTAGACTCTTAATCGTATTGCCGATTCGATCCATCCCCATTTATAAAAATTTGTACCCCCATTCCCAAAAACTCTGTAATAGCGTAGAATTTCAATTTCCGTAATTTATTGTTTTCCCTATACTGTATAGTAATTAGGCGTGTATGGAAAGACACAAAAACAATCGCTAGATAAACCGAATTTCAACAAAATTAACTTGAATCAAACACACTTTTTTCACACGCGCACCTCTAGGGTAACCTCGCTTGTTGGTTCAGAAATACAGTCATGTCCCTTGAATATGGGACGCTTTAGCAATGACCCTTCGATAAAAAAGATTGTTAGTCCCTCGATGACCCTCAACGTTGCCTTCGATAAAACGATCTAATCCCTTACGAAAATTTCTAAAGCGTCTCACAAGTTGCTTTCGATGACTGTAAAATTGACCCGCTCCTGTCCCTTCACATCCAACGATGGGGCTTCTTACCAAGTCAATGGTAAGATAGCAACGTCTAAAGGAGAAATAAAAGCACATTTAAGACCTTTCGAGTATGTAGATTCACTCTTAGTTACTCGCTTGCTCGCAACAAAAACATTTTATACACCAACGCTCTCATTTCAAAGCATTTTCAAAAAGATAAAACTTTGTACGCGTTCTTATAGAGACAAAAATCATTGCAAAACATCTTTTCAAAAACCACTTTCCACAAACACAACCCACAAACACTTCTTTGAACTATCTTTCGAAACAAAACTTTGTACGCATTCTTATAGAAACGAGAACCATTACAAAGACATTTTCAAAACATTTTCAAAGCCCACACCACAAAACACATTCAAATGAAAGCAAATTGATCTAGCGAGTAACTAAGAGCCCATGTAAAACTATGGATGAAAAGGGTGCTAATACCTTCCCTTTTCATAATCTACCTGTTGTACCCCAAAATTTGCCCTCCTATTTCTCATTAATTTCTCACCACAAAGCCCTTGAAGCTCAAGATCCAGTTAGGGTTTCATCTGCTCAAGACCTCTCCTTGCACTGTTGACTCAAATTAGGGTTTGTGTTTGCACAAAGATGCTTTGACCTAAAATTCCTAAGATGACTTTCACGCTTCATATTGGACTCCCAAGTTTATCCATACCAAGTTTCAAACTTTGATTCCAAATTTTGCCCAGTCAATTGGACAGTTGACCTAGAAATCAGCTGTATTGGGGAAAAAGTCAACTGTGGCCAATTAACAGTCAAACCTCATGAAAATTGACCTACATCAACATTATGAACTCATATGGTCCATTTGATCAAGTTTGGATCACAACTCCATAAGAAATTTGATCAGATCACCAAAAGGGCAAAATGGTCATTTTTAGGGTTTTGACTGCACAAAGGCAATTTTTGACTGTTTGACCTAGCCAATGGCAAACCAAACTCATATATGGACTCAAGGACCCCATGGAATTATCTTGACATGCTCAACAAGCTCAAAAGATCCAAAGAACACAAGATTGACAGTTGAATTTCCCAGTCAATTGATCAATTTTAACTGTATACTGAAAAGTCAAACTTTGACTTTTTGGTCAAAATCAAGAGTCAAGATTCATTTTTCATCAAAACATGCCAAATCATGAAACTTGTTCACCAAGAAACCACAAAATGCAAATTAGGGTTAGAAATTTGAATTTTTCATCTTAGAATTTTTCTAAGTTATAAAAAAACCTAATTTTATCCCAACTTTGCCCCACTTTTTCACCAAGATCCATTTGGATTCAAACAAAAGTCAAAACATGAAAGTTGTAGCTTGTTGCATAATCTACAACTTTTATTCACAAAGTTTTCCCATTTGAGGCTTGTATCTCAAGTTAAAAATTTTTGAATAAGGGCACTAAACCATTCTTAACTTAGTGAATTTTTGATCTATTTTGACAAGGTTTTCTACCCCACTTCAAGGCCATTTTATATACACTTCCACTTGGAATTTCAATTTTCATTTCAAAGATGGATTGTAGTACACATTCCAAGCTTTCCAAAATGTCCAAGAACTCATCAAAAAACCTCATGACTTAGAAGATTCGAATTTCACAATTTGGCAAAAACTCACTTTTGAATTGGCCATTTTTCATGTTCATAAGTTGTGCAAACTTCTCAAAACCAGCATGCCCTTGATTACAGGTCCTAAAACCATCCAACACTCAATAATTTAATGCATGTTCATTGTGTTAAGACCTTGTTTCATGAGCTAAAGCATTGTATGATGGATTAATCCCAAATTAGATAAAGCATTCTTTCTATTTTTGCAAAAGTTACACTTTATGTCCAATTACAAATCCAACAAGTACAAACCAAATCCAATTGGCACAAGATTATGGACAAATCACTCTGATCAAGGAGAGGTTATGCAGCTCATTAGAGGCCCCCTACTTGCCTAAAACAACAAGTTGCCTTTGTTTGCTTAAGAGTGAAGAAAAGTACCATAACTCACACCAACTTCCATCTCAGCTTACACACACTTAGACAAAGTTATCAAACATATTCCAAAGATCAGAACCAAGCTTTGGCACGACCCTAGCACCTCTCAAACACTCCCCTTGCCATAATCACTCTCAAACTGCAAAAACAGGGCAAGGCCTGCAGTTTGAGTGTCATCTTTCATTTCTCTCAAGCTTTCTTGCCCAAACCAGTTCACACACCTTCCATACCATCTATGCAAGCTAACCAAAAGCAAAAGCACGACCTGTAATCACTCTAACCACTTCCACCATTTTCAGTTTCTTGTTTTGCAGGTGAGGTGCTCTAGCACGATTCAGAAGCTCTCAAGACAAAGTAAACATTGGAATAGCATCCCTGGACCTCAAGGAAGCTTTTCCAATCATCACCTTGCCCTGAAAGCTCCCTCATTGCCAGATAGAACTTTAGCTGAACAGGTATCTTGGTGAACTCGTATCTCTCTTATTATGCATCATTAGCTTTAAGTTTGTGAATAAACAATGTTCTACTCATGCCACTGAACATGTACATGTTTTTACTTTTCATTTCTTTTGCTTGAGCTGTGAGAATTTGAGGTTTGAAAATGGCAGAAAATCTAGGTTAGGATTTGGGGGAGGAGAAATTCTCCCTCATCTTAGAGAGTTAGATCAAGTTATGCATATGGTTAGATTCGTCTCTTGATGTTGAATATTTTTTGTGTTATGAGTTTTCATTAACAAGCCAGGAATCAGGATGTTTGAATGTTGGAACCAAGCGCGCGTTTTCTGAACATTTTTGGCTAGAGGTTGAAGAAGGGTCTATTGGGATGGGCTTGCTTCATATTTCTTATTCACACCATGATTTTTGTTTTGCACCCCCTGAGCCCATTTCATTCATTTTTAATATTTTTGACTTTTTCCTTTTTTTGATTGGTTCATTTATTTTATTTCAGCATATTAAAAACATAAAAATATTTTTCTCATCATTTTTTGAATTTATTGAGTATTTATTTGATTGTTTCTTTTGTTTTGTACATAAATAAATAAATATATATATATATACTTTTTTTGTTTAAAATATTAAGATAATACAAAATATATTTTTATACACATTTTTATCTTATTTTTACTTCCTGAAAATATTATAGAAAAAAAAAATACTTTTTATTTAAATATTAAATATTATTAATTAATATATATAATATATGTTTTGTAAATAATATAAATATATAGGTATATATTAATATACTTAGGATAAAAATACCAAAAAATGTACATATTTTATTTTTAATATTTAATACTAAAAAATACCCCTTTTTTACAAATATACCATATTTTATTTTATTTTTGTATGTAAATAATAAATAATTGATTAATACCCCTTTGATTAAAAATTAGGTTTTTTACCCTAAATTTGAAAATACCTCAAAAATAATACCTTTTTATTTTCTTTTTTTATTTTTCATAAATAATATTTTTTTTTTCATACATATAAAAAATTCTTTTTTGCATCCTTGCATATTTATATTTATTTCTATTTTATTTATGCTTTTGATCATATTGTAAATATTCAAGGCAAATGATGTAATAGCTTAGATTCAATTTCTTGTCTAAATATCTCCCCACTTGAACATTGTACCCCCCTCCCCATATTATTGTGTTGTAATAGCATAGGAATTTAAATTTCGCACTTTAAATGCTTTCTAAACATACTATGTTAGAGCTAGGGTTTGTATGTAAATAAAACGAACAAAATAGTTGGACCTAATCTCAAGATAAATATGCATGAAAAATGGACAACACATTTCACACTTGCACCCCTAGGGTATTCCACTTTGTTGCCTTCAAATAATTGGGCCATATTGTATGTTGAATTTCTTTGGGTAAAAAACAAACAAACAAATGATCA